AAGCGCAGTTGCCGTCTTGTGTGGTCAAGCAATGAGTGAGGCCGAGAGACAGAGTAGTCAGTAGCCGGCATCTGCCGTAGCTTAGGTAGACAGAGAAGACATCGAGGGAAGAGAGGAAAAAAAATTCAGAGAGTGAGCGAGTAAGGCGCATGTGTAAATTAGAGAGAGAGAGAGACATTCCTGAGGGGCTTGGTGGCCATAGCCGCCCAGGCACGTGTGCAAGATGTATCAGGCTTGAATTTCACGCGAGTTCCGTTCTCATTTTGTGTCCGAGCACATCTCCTGTGCGTGAATCCTTGTGTGACAAAGTGCAACTTTGTCACTTTGTGATGTTGTAAAGCAGTGTGTGTGGTGTAGAATCGTTGCACTGCCCTTGAAAAAAAAAAAAAAAAAAAAAAACTATGCAAGCCTGCGATCACCACATCCTTGTTGCATGACAAGCCATAATTGGCCTAATTGTACATCATAAAGGGACCCTTTTCAGCTATGGCTGGTGGCAGTCAAATGCAATTGAGAGACGTCAAAATCGTATCCAGCTGACTCACCTCCGCATGGTCATGTTCTTTTTTGTTGCTTGCTAGGAGGGTGCTGGTAAAGCTGCTGATGTGTGGTCTCAAGGATGTTTGCTGTATGAGCTCCTTGCTGGGGAGTTCCTCCTTCAAGATGATGACTGGATCCGTTTCTTCATTCGTGTGACTATGCCCGGCCAGGTAAATTCTGAATGTACTTTCACACAAGGGGGCCCGGTCATTGTAATGGACACACATGGTATGTGCTTGTCAGATCAGTTGAACATCATGGAACATCACTATCCAACCAGGTAACAGATGGCATCCGCTCACATTGTATACCATCATTGCAGTCCTGTTCCACTGCTGCAACAGCTCGTTCTACTAAGTGTAAGGACTTTTCATCATGGCATTGTCGCCTGAAGTAAGGTTCTCAGACCGTCCTGTTGCGTACGGTTCTCCGACTGTCCTGTTGTATAAGGTTCTCAGATTGTCCTGTCCTTCTCATACTTCATCCGAGTGTTGTCATCATCACCCTAACAGGCAGCTGCAGTCAAAGTGAACATGCTCGCGTACTGCTTTGACAGAGCTGTGTGCCTGCCTGGCCCCGGACTGAGTCCCTCAATGCTTGACTAAGGCAGTCAACCAAGGAAACCAACCTGACGGTCTGAGACGATGTGTATTGATTACATGCATACATAAATCCATACATTCATTGAATCTCATTCATATACACATACATACATCCATTCACAAACAGAACTGCCCGGTAAACCGTAGGCAGAGAGAGAGAAGAGGACAACAAACGAGGGGCTGTGA